CGGGTTGTTGTAAAAACCCGCGAGCCACAAGCCGGGCTTTAAACCGTGAGATGCTACCGTCTGCATTTCTCTTGATCCTGAAGAGCCATTTGCATGTGATGGGAGACTGGCCAGTGGGAGGAACCAGACTCCACGTATGATTTCGGCGTAGGGCTTGCATTTCATCTTGCATGGCAGAGACCCATCTCGGATCGGATAATGCCTGCTTTACACTAGTTGGTTCAAGTATGGGTGGGATGGGATGTTTGGTGGTGAGGTTAATAAAGGGTCCGCCTATGTATTTTGAGTTTGGAATTCGTAATCGAGTGGGACGATTAAGGGTAATGGTGGACGGCTGGGTGTTGTCGGGTGGAGGTGGGGTCAAGTGGGAGGTATGGGTATTATGGTGAGTGGTATTTGGTGAGATGGATAAGGACTGCATGGGGTTTGAATTATTGTTGGAGTGGGGAATGGTAGTACCAGATGAGTTGGAATTGTTTGGGTGTGGGTTAGAGTGATTCGTGGCAGAGGGTTGAGAATTGGGAGAAATAGGTGGGTTAGGTGTGTTGTTTTGGGATAAGGATAGTTCGGTGATGGGTGGACTCAAAAGGGGATAAATAGGGGATAATTGTTGACTAGGTGAATTTGTTTTTGATAAGGATGGAGGTGGCAAGGAAGGTGGGACCTCGGGCGGCAGGTGCATGCATGGAGCGGACTCAGACTGTGAGGAGCGGAATGGGAAAATATGAGGAATGAAACGTACATGACGACTCGTGTATACACGATTTGTACTGGGATCAAGACAAAAGTACGCCGACTGAGACAGTGAGTAGCCAATAAAAATACATGGTATGGAGCGGGCATGTATTTTAGATGAAGAATATGGACGAAGCCATGGATAGCATAAGCACCCAAAAGGTTGTAACTTTTTGTAATTTAGGGTGACGATTATATAGTTGGAAAAATGGTGTAGAAAAATTAATGGCGGAGTTAGGAAGACGATTGATAAGATAGACTGCTGTGTGGAAGGCATATGGCCAATATGAGTGAGGCAGACCGGCATAATGAAGTAGAGTAAGACCGGTATCAACAATATGCCTATGCCGACGTTCAGCAATTCCGTTATGTTCAGGCGTGTGAGGGGGTGTGGTAAAGTGAGATATACCGTGTTGATTCAGGTATGACCGTAATTTAATGTACTCACCCCCGTTGTCGGAGAAGACTGCTTTAATTTGATGATTAAAATATTTTTCAACCAGGCGATGAAACTGAGGAAACACAATTGACACATCACTCTTATTTTTTATTGGATATAGCCAAGTGTACCTGGTGAAATAATCAACAAAACTTACGTAATACTTAAAGCCATCAAAAGAGGGAGTGGATGTGCTCCATACATCACTATATATTAACTCAAGAGGTGAATTGGCTTGCATAGTATTAATTGAAAATGGCAGTCGAGTACTTTTATTAATATGACAAGACGAACAATGAAACGCACTTAACGAAATGTTACATGGAATAACATGTTTATTTTGATGAACCAACAGATCAAAAATACGACGAGACGGATGACCAAATGTGTGATGCCAGTGAGACGGAACGGAGACCCGGGAAAGATGGATTTGTGGTGACCTTGGTGATTGGACATAGTAGACATCATGGATGTTCTCCCCGCGCATGAGCACCGCCCCCGTGACCCGATCCTTGACAAAAAAATGGGTAGAAAAAAATTCAACAGAAACGGAGTTAGTCTTGCAAAGTTTAGCAACGGAAATTAAATTTTTATTAAGGCTAGGAACACAAAGAACATTGGTTAAGGATAAAGGTCGGGATTTTGTGGCTAGGCTCGTTGAACCAGTGTGTGTAATGGTCAGGGAATTACCGTCACCAAGATGGACCTCGTCAGGGCCTCCATACTCAGCATGGGTCGGAAGGTTGGAATTATCCGAGGTGACATGATGGGAGGCCCCACTGTCAAAAAGCCACTGCTGACCGCCGGTCATGGGATTGACCATTGTATTGTGAGCCACGGGAGAACCAGGCCCCGATGAGGTGACAATTTGATGTTCACGGAGAAACCGCTGTAATTTCCGGCATTGTTTGACCTCATGCCCGGAAAAATTACAGAACCGGCATACAACTCCATTCATGTGGGAGTTCCGGTACTGACCATGGTTGTTGCCACCACGCCCTCGGCGATTGTGGTGACCTCGGCGATCAGGAGTGGACTGAGTTGAACGACGATCCACATGCATGGGAGAGTCAAACGTGCGTCCAGTAGCTTGCGTGTAATGGGCTGTGGGTACAAGCTGTTGAACTGACGTACCTGCCTCCTGGAGTTTTTGCTCATGCTCCAGTAAAATGTCTTGCAATTCCGCAAGTGGAATGGGTGTGTTGCGCACGCGAATGGCTGATCTAAGTTCACCAAATTCCGGACCAAGGCCATTGAGAATATTTATGACCAAATCTTCCTCCGGAATTGGGTTTTGAGCGAGAGCCAATGCTTCAGAGATGGCGTACATTTCAGCAACATATTCGGTGATATTGCGGCCTCCTTTTGTAGTCCGGGAGAGAGCAGTTTTGAGAGATATGATCCTGCCGCGTGATGTACTCGCATAGGTGAGCGAGAGCTTGTCCCAAGCTTGCTTTGCCGTCGTGACAGAAGAGATCAACGGTTGAATAGCATCGGCACAACTACCGAGCAGTGCACTGATAATAGTGCGATCTTGGCGATACCAAATAGCGTAACATGGATTCGGCTGAGTCTTAGCATCATCCAGGAATTTGTCCGGTGCTACAGTTGAGCCATCGACATAGCCGTCGAGACCAAGGCCAATGAGGGCCGAGTGAACCTGGCACTTCCATACGGGATAATTTGAGGTAGTTAATTTGATAGGGAAGTGGGTTGAAGCCGTGAGGGCAACGACTTGGGTGGTAGGAGTGATGATTGACATGATTGGATCGGAAAAAATAAAAACTGAGCTCGTTAGAGAAAGGCTCTTGATACCATGAAGAAGTATTAGGAGAAGTATATTATTGATGCATTTAGCACGATGTATGTACATCAATATATAGGCTGTACAATTGAGGTGATAAGCTAGACTTAACTAACTAGCATAAACTAAGGGATAGAACTTAACCCTACGTACATGATAATTACACGTGATAAATATATGTTAATATTGTGCTAATATTTACAAGATAATATTGTGATAATATTATGCTTCAATAGAAGGCAGTCAAACGATTTTTGGACGTTAACTGCGTTTTATATGTATATAAAGGGTGCAGTTATCTTCCAAAAATCATTTGACTGTCTTCCCAATTGACGTTTTTTCTGAAATTTGGTATGGATTTACTAGACTGGATGAAGAACATGCTCAAAAAATTTCATCATAAAATTCCACCGGGAAGGACCTCAAAACGTGGAGGTCGCACGGCGGTTCCGGTAAAGTATACCTTACCGGAAGAGTTCCCTATATATATATATATATATATATATATATATATATATATATATATGGTGTACTGTGGTTTGGAAGGATGTATATACTTCGTACGTATTTGTACATGTTATTGTTGATTATAAATTGTAACAAAATAGGATGTTTACACTTTACAAGCTCAAACAGTAAAGATTGAAATCTATTATTTTAATGTGAATAGACTTCAATTTAGAATTATATAGAATATGGATGGTGTAGTGTGGTGTTTAACTGACAAGACTCAAGTTTTGATTTTGTTGAATACCAGTGAATAAATTTGAAGAAAAGTCTCATTGAGAACTTTCCTTTCTTCTTTGGTTCCTAACTTCATACTGATCAAAGCTGCGTTGTAAAATACTACGTATGTAATAAATAAAAAAAGAGATCGTAATTAAAGTACTTCAGAATTGTATGAAAAAACACTTATCTAAGAAGAATAGTTGATGATTGAGAGTAAAGTTCTTGAGAATAGTCGGAAACATCGAATTTCGAACACCGATTGTGGCGGCCGATAAACGTAGAAGCTGCAGGTGAGGACTAAAGAGGTTGAAAGCGACGATCGGTTAATGTGGAGTCCTGTGAAGCCGTGAAAGCGTATGTCGATGGCTGTGGTGTTTGATCGGTGAAGTTGATGAGGCAGTAACAACAAGCAAGTTCGAGGTGAGATGATAGATGGGAAGCGGTGCTGGCTGCTGAGAATGGTACGCTGATCGGCGCTGGGGACATCTAAAAGGATAACGTGATAGGAGGAGTAACTCATGTGTTAATATAGCGACGTCCGGGCAGAACCTCCTATGTTGCCCCTACCGCGACCGCTATATAGCGGTAGGGCACTAGACTTAATGAAGAAGATACTCAAAAAATTTCATCAAAAAATTCCTCCGGGAACCGCCCCAATTGGCGACGTCCGGGCAGAACCTCCTATATAAGGGGCTAATTGAACACTTTAAGTTAGTTCATGTACCTATTTGACCCTTTAACCTTGTTTAAATGATTTTACATGCTTTTAGTAATATTTTATTCACAATGTAAAATATAGGTGTAGATATTGTGTTTCAGATTGTTAGGAAAAACTTATCAAAAACACATAAGACCGTGAAAAGCAGATTGAATCATTCTCTCCAATGTCTCATATGCACGGTGCACATTGTATTATTGAGATTCTTTTAATAAAATTAATTAGATCTAGGTGGATTAAACCAAGTAGATACATCAGAAAAATTATTTGAATGGTTGTCATCAACGTAGGTGATTCTGTAAATATTACTTGTATAGAGATTGAAGAACATATCCTCTAAAATCTTTAATTTCAAGTTTCGTCAAAATTGATGAGTTATTATTGATTTTCTTCAAAATTGATGAGGTTTACACAGATTTTCTTCAAAATTGAGTTATTCATTTTCTTATATAAAATTGAGTTTCTTACAATCGAGGTCCTTGTCACAAAATCAATATAAAATAAGCTTGGTGAACATACATTAAACCGAGAAAAATGATTCATCTCAAAACAAACTTGACATGTTATAGCATACCTTATAATGTTATAAGGTGCAATGTGATACATGCAACCAACTTACTATCCGTCCAAATAAAGAATATTATTCGACAAAATGAATTTCACTAGTAATGCAAGTGATCGAAGAGAACATATGGAACACAAATGTGATTATTAGAATTGGTGGGGTCTGGTCATAAATATAAACAAGCCTAGCTGGTCCCCACCCGAAGGACCTCGATATCAAATACCCTGCCACCTTTACTACTCGTAGTGTCACGGGGCCTGATGATGCAAATATCTCCTTCTTCCACTCTATTGATCTCTACAAACTCACGCCAACCCTGACTAAAGAAGGCACATTTGTTTACCAAGAGAGTAACTTTGCAGTCCCCAATAGGACCTTTCAGGGTTACTCTTGTGTTTTGACAATATCCGTTTGCTACGCAAAACTCTCGAGGTATATTCTGAAACAAAAACATATGCGTATACATGTTACAAGCATGAACAATAACGAAATCAAATAAAAGTAAAGACGACAAATTAAATCTTGTCTTAGAAATGAAAAAATGGTGAATATGCAATGTAAATTATGTATTTTCGCTCGTTGTAGACTTTAGCATTTTTATAAAAAAAAAAAAAGTAATACGGAGTATGTTTTTTTGTAACCATATTTGTAATGGGACTGAGATTTTCTATTCTAGTTTGGGCGGATGTAATGTCGTTGGTTTAGGTTTGGTCTGCACGAATCTGATAGATGTTTATTCTCTGTATATTTTACAATTGTTGAAGATTGACTTGGTTGTGTAGTATTTTCTGGTCTAGTCCGGTCTATATAAATTTGATTTGATATGGTTCTAGGCTAAAATTAGTCCCATTAAAAACATTCCTTTTTAAATCCATTGGGGTCCGGGGGGGCCTGGAGGCCCCTGGGGTAAACATGATTGATTGAAACTGATATCATGGATTCCATAAGGCAGGGTAAGTCGGTGATCAGTTGAGATTAGGGGTGGACTCGGGCTGGTTCGGGCCCGGTTCAGGCCTGGGCCCGGTCGGGCCTCGGTTCATCAAAGGGGAGGCCCGGAACCGGCCCGGGTAACCCCCGGGTCCAGTTCGGGCGGGGCCGGGCCTCGGTTCAATTTTTTTTTTGGCTTTTCCTAATTAACCCCAACCCTCCCCCCTCACCCCCAAACCATCTCAAATGGCCCAAAATACCCAGCCCAACCAAAAAACATAAAAAAAAAATTCAAAAAAAAAAGTTGGCCCGGACCGGGCTTGAACCGGCCGGGCCGGTTCACCTTTTGAGGGGCCCGAGCCCGGACCGGAACCCCAGCGGGTCGGGCCTACCTGGACCGGTCCCTGGCCGAGCCGGCGGTTCGGGCCGGTTCCGGAGCGGGCCGCCCGGCCCGAGTCCACCCCTAGTTGAGATAGTTCGCTTCCTCAAACATCGTGAATATGTACTTGTACTCCGTATTATTTAGTGAGGTCCAAAATTATAGTGATTACTTGGCATAATTATGTATGTATTTACTAATTAAGTATGTTATGAATTACTCTCATCGTTTGGCGAATAAAAAAAGTATTGTTCACATTTTTGAATTTTATACTACTTAGAACAATTTTTGGAGTATTATTTTTACACCTTAAATCAATCTTTTCCATAACACATACTGTGTGAGATTTAAAACAAGCGTTTGTCGAAATGCCATAAAATTAAATAAAAAAGCTAAAATATGATCGAGAATAGCATAGTAGTGGAATTACTTGAATGAGAAAACACTTTTGCTAAAAGAATTTACCCAGCCTGTCCTAAAAAGCTTTATACTTCTATATGATATCTCTTCTTCGCGAAAATGTTGTCTTTTCTTAATCAATGATGACAAACTTTGAACAATAATTTTAATTATTATACTTACATATTCCATATAATTTATACTAGCACTACGTAAATTTTATATTCAAAACAATTTCATATTAAAAATATAACTGGTCAAAATCATTATGCTCGATCAAGGAAAACAAATTGAGCAAACCTTTTTGAACGTAGAGACTCGTATGTATAAGAGGGAAAAGTTGTAAGTAGTAATTTGCAAGAATTCAAAGCATACCAAATACGGCCCTTGTTTACGGACATTGTATGACCTCATTGGTGACATATGTTGTTTTTGGCTCTGCAAAACTATGCTTCCCGCCTTAGGACGCCCTCTTTTTCCTACACTAACAATAAGTAAACAAAATATTATTATATGTTAAAATATAAATGAATTAGTAATTTCGGATTATTCATGATTAAGTCCGACAATTATATGTCTCACAATCGTCTCCTAATTTGGATGAGCTCACACTTTCTCTTATTGGAGTCTTCTCCTATTGTAACTAACACACCGTTAACAACAACTCAATCAAGCAGTGGCGGAACCAGAACTAAAACAAAGGGGTAGCTAAAAGTATTACCAAATGCAAAAATATAAATTGCTATTAAAGTTTACATAATATAAAATTTGTGAGAATAGTACATTACATTACAATTAAATGTTAGAAGAAGAAGAAGCCAATTTAGACAATTGCGTGCGGCGTGTCTGCATACATTGAAAACGTTGCAAAATTGCTTCATTTTCAATCTTGGCAAAAATTTCCTTCTCCATGTAGATCACCAAACTATCATTCATCCATTCATCTCCCATTCTACTCCGTAAATCAGTCTTGATGAGTTTCATGCCAGAAAAGACTCTTTCAACTGAAGCTGTTGCAACCGGTAAAACTAACGCCAACTCAATCAGACGATATACCAAAGAAAACACAAGGTTCATGCCACTTTCAACCATTTGTTTGGCAAGACTTCCCAAATCTTCAATTGCATGAAATTGACTTTGACTCTTTACGGCATGAATGTATGTCTCAAGTTGTTGCTTAAGCATAAAACGATCGGTAGAAGAAAAGTCTTCCGCATACATTTCAGCCATATGAATCAGTTTATCAATGTCAAATTGGGAGAAAGAATTTCTTGGATCAAGACATGCAATACAAGTAAGTAACTCAGTACTTGCTTCTGAAAAACGATTATTCATCTCCACAATCATCTTGTCAACAACCTAATATATAGTACAAAATAATATAATCAAAATAATTGAATACAATACTAATATTAAAAAAAAAAAATCAAAAGTCATAGTCATATACCTCACAAAAGATTCCGCCGCGAAAGTGAATCAAATTTGTGGTTGTGTTTCCGCTTCGTCTACTACGCCCACGAATTAGTACTTCTTCTTCCATGTTTAAGATCGGAATGTTGACTTTTTCACAAAATGTATTTGTTTCTTCTAAAAGAGTCTCCCACCCATTATCTCGGAATTCTTGCAATCTAACTTTCATTGTCCCAATCAAGTTGATTGCCAAAACAATATTTTGATCTTTTTGTTGCAAGGCAAGAGACAACTCATTAGTAATTCCAAACAAATACATCATTAAATGCATAACGAAGACAAATTCATAATTCTCCATCTTGTTGATTAAACTTGAAGCCATACCCCGCTCCTCGGTAGCTCCATCATCATGCACATTTTCAAGTGCTTTTAAAACCGAAGTCCACATAGACATCAAACGCACAATAGTTATGTAGTGTGACCCCCAACGGGTATCCCCCGGTCTTCTCAAACTTACTTCTTGATTTTTCCCTTTCCCACTTACTATCTCTCCCTTCTCCAAACTCTCAACTAGTCTATCATGCTCTATTTGTCTAAGTCTATCTTTTCTTTTACAAGAAGCACCAGTGACATTCACAAGCATAATAACATATTGGAAAAAGTCACACACAATTCGATTAGACTTAGCAACAGCAACAACAACTAGTTGAAGTTGGTGAGAAAAGCAATGCACATACCTTGCTGAAGGATTTTCCTTCAATATGAGAGCATTTAATCCATTGTACTCACCTCTCATATTTGAAGCGCCATCATATCCTTGACCTCTGAGTTTTGATAGAGACAATTTATGCTTTGAAAACAACTCATCAACAGCACTTTTCAAAGAAATAGCAGAAGTATCAGTGACATGCACAATGCCAAGGAAACGTTCAATCACATATCCACGTTTATCCACATATCTCAAAACAACTCCCATTTGCTCCTTAACTGAAACATCTCTACATTCATCAACCATAAGAGTAAATACATTATCTCCAATATCTTCAAGAATAACTCGTGTGACTTCAAATGCACAAGCATTAGTTAATTCCTTTTGAATTTTTGGAGATGTCATTTGATTATTTCCGGGAGCATTCTCATTCAATGTCTTAGCAACCTCTTCATTTCTTTGACTATACCATTCTAGTAATTCAAGGAAATTACCTTTATTTAAAGAACTAGATGACTCATCATGACCACGAAATGCTAGACCTTGCTTCAACAGAAATCGTATCACATCCAAAATTGCGGTTAAACGAATGCGATATGCAACTTCTATTTCCCTCCCATGTGCACTTATCAAATGTGACACACTTTGTCTTTGATTTTGAAAAGTTTCAAGTTTCACTCTAGCATTATTGTGAGCACTACCCACCACACCAACATGAGTATTGAATATATCTAGTGCTTTTTTCCAATTATTTACCCCTTTGTCGGTAAATGCAACTTCTCCAACTCGGTTTCCTTTATTTGAATCTTTGAAAAGATAACACCACAAGCAATAAGCAGCATCTTTAGAAATGCTATACTCCAACCATGGATATTTCTCAAACCAAGCAGGTTGAAAACTTCTCTTTTCTTTACCATACACTCTCTTAGGATATACATGGCCAATCGGTCTACATGGACCTCTTGTTAAATATTCTCTCATAACCTGGTCTCTAATAAAAGGATTATACTTGAGTATTGGCTTACGTAATCCAGGATCAGACACAATATCATTTGGATCAAATTCGACACGAGGATGTTTTTCTCTACTACTTTCTTCGTTATCTCGTCTAGAAGGTCCACCGCCTCGTGTTACAAATTGTAAAATAGACATGATCGCATGAGTAACCTAACAAGTTAAAAAAGATTTCAATTTCAAATTCTTAAATACTTATAATCAATTAAAGCACTTTCAATTTCAATTTTATACGGCCTCGAAGGTTACCAATTCAAGCTTATAATCAATTATTACTATAAAAAGCAATTCTATTGAGGAATCAATAAACTTGCAAATTAAAATCAAACCTTAAAGCTATCAATCAGTCGAATTTCAAATTAAATAATAATTACTTAAACTCTTAAAGCAAATAACCAATAAAATTCATTAAAAATTAAAATAGATATCAATTTTAAATTACTTACCAAAGCAAATGCTTAACTGCTTTACTCGGATGGGGATAGTCGGATGATTCGAGATTGCAATTAACCAATTACCTAGGGCTGCTTCCACTATCACAATTCACAAGGCAGAATCAATCGACATTCACTCATTCACGCGAACGACGGAGCGAGGACTGGAGGACAGAGGAGCTGAGGAGGAAAGAACTCTCGACCTGCAATTCGCGATGAGATCTCGAAGTCTGGCTATGACCGTCTGGCTCTGGCATCTGCGCAACTCTGGAAGACTGGAACGATTGGAATTTGGAAGGACCAACTCCAAGAGGAACGCCGAACGCGTATAGACGGAAACGATTTAATTAACCAAACGACGTCGTTTCTTCCGTTTCTGTGCACTTAACCAAACGACGTCGTTTGGCTAAATGATTTAATTAAAAAAAAAGTCTCGCAGCTCACCTGGTTCGTCGCTGCCTCGCTGGATCTCAGAATAGCAGGGGCGCCGGCAGGTCTCACTGAAGAAGAAGACGGGGCGCCGGCCGGAATACCTAATACTACTACCTCAAAAACTCCGGCGAAGGGGTGGCGGCAGCACCGGCTCGCCCCCCCTGGTTCCGCCAATATGTAATATATTTTCTTCTCCTAATCTTTTACTTATTTCATTCCATTTCATAACATAATTAACTACCACTGATTCAATTAACTTACTGCCGACATCCATGAGGACCATGCTATGTGCTCCATCAATTCCAACATCATTCATTTTACCCTTCATGGAGCTTTTCATATGATTAGTGTGTCTTTGGACATGTGCATCTTCTTCGTTAACTTCCACCTTAGATACACCTGCACGCATACACACAAATAAATAGTGTTTTTTTATTACCCGGGGCTCAGGGGAAAGGGGTTGCCGGGTTGGCGACCTTGTTCAGGGGTGGAACTTCCTCCATGGAGTTTCAAACCCAAGAATTCCCGTATACGTCATCTCTTCAGTTCGTGTATAGTAGTTGTTGGTCAACTATGCCATTTGTTAAGCAAATATACTTCCTTACTTCTTACATACAAAAGTGACTATCACATTTACCTGTAGACGACTTTGTCTATCAATGTACAAGTTTCACAAGATTAATAGTTTGAAAATTTAGTAAATACGTAGTACGAAGTAAGATCATTTGCACATATTAATAAGATCTTGCGTGTATGTTTATCAGACCAGATTTAGACTTTATTTTGTGTGGCCATTTAACTATATATTTAAGGTCAAATCAATCCGAAATTTGACAGATCTAAACAATTAAATGACATATATTCTGAAAACAAAATCTTGAGTTTTTTCCCTTTTTAAGTGGATCAATATTATTTTTCGTTTTTAACGTGCTCTTTTACTAAAAAAAGAGGCACACATTTAAAACGCGTTCAAAACGCAAAACAAGCTAACTAGGTCAATGATAACCACTTACTATCGTTATTAGTTTCTAGCGTGCCGCCGCCGCCGCCGCTAGGGCAATGATCTTTCTCGCAGCAAGAACGATCAAACAGAGTGACCTTAAATTGCATGCTCCTACCCATACGTTTGAACACCACAAAATCTCCGACCTCCAATTCGTGTTGACGCACAAACTTGTTCCATCCTTCTGTCAACCATAGATTTCCTTCTTCGCATTTTGCTATTTGTACGACCCATCTTCCCTTTTGGCTCTCTAACATAATCGTTCCTTTTGACTCTATTCCACGCAGCTTCTCACATATTACCGGGGGAAGCATCTGTCACACATTAAATAATTTTCCCAAACATATTTATTGATTAGCGAAAAAAAGTACTCCGTAATTGTTACCGTCGAAAACAACAATATTGGCACGAATATAGCACGAATATGTCAAATTCGTAAAGAATTTGGCACAGATATGTCAACTTCGTAATATTGTGAATTTGTCGCCTGCTATTTGACACAACGTCATGCCAAAAATATGTCAAATTCGATCAAATCGTGATAAATCTTTGCCGGTATCGTTATTTTATGCTGTATAAATTATTAAAGATTGAAATTAACAAAGGAGATCAAGAGGTGGCGTACAAGTTTTGTTTCGAAACCAGGCATCAAAACCTTGAAGAATCTTTGAAGTTCTTCTTCCATTACAATAATAATTGAAATACGTAACCCCAGAATTTCTACAGTTAAGTTTCCCTACGTTGTCGATGGCCGAGTTTAATTAGCTAGTTAATTAATAGGCCTAGGTTTATAATTACTCATGAATCATGATTGGGCCATATCACGGTAAATAAGATACTACGTATCTTGTTCTCAGTCACACTATAATGGGCCGTTATTGTGCACAAATGTGGCGGTTTATTTGCAAATATTTAAACGATAAGGATTAAGTTGCAAATACTTATGCTGTAATAGTAGGTTTTGGTAAACTTCCAAATCATGAGTAAATCCAGATAGTTTCCCTAATTAGCAGTATTATGTTTTTATCTCAAACTAAGATGTTTTTTTTGGACTATTTTCAGTCTCATATCAAATCAGGTCGACTAAAACAAATCGGACCAGATCAAACTTAAACAGACCGGACCAAATCAGACTTCTATAATTATAAAATACACAGAGAACAGACATTAGACATTTATCAGACCAGAGCAAATTCGACCAGAAGAGACCATACCAACAAATTTCAGTCCAAAAAAAAATATGCTAAGACTAAAATATTTATCATATACTGTCATATGGTAATTAAAACATAATATAATATTATCCTCACAAAAAAAAAAATAAGATTATGGCATTATACTACTAAACATTATTAGTATCGTTCATAATAGTAATAATTATTCATACAACAACAACAACATCCAAGCCTTAGTCCCAACAATAATTATTCATATTTAAGAAAAAAAATAGTACTTAAAAAAACAGGAGCCCCGCCCAGCCTCCTCCATTTGGTGGCCTTCCCGGTGGTATTTTTTGCTCAAATATTTTGTGTATGTTCCTCATCAAGTCTAGTTCATCCACATCAAATTTCAACAAAAACTTCAACCGGGAAGGTCGTCAGATTATTTGTGCAAGTTAACTGGTCCGGAATATGTATTTTCCGGACCAGTTAACTTGCAAAAATCATTTGACAATCTTACCGATTGAATTTTTTGCTGAAATTTGGTATGGATGAACTAGACTTGATGAGAAACATACACAAAAAATTTGAGCAAAAAATACCACCGGGAAGGCCCCCAAAATTCCTGACCGGAAGATTACTCCTTAAAAAAATAGTACTTCGACCCTATTTAGGCTATTCAGTGATGTTTTCGCTTTTTCTTCGTTATACTTCACTTTTTTAGGAAGGCATTGTGAAAGAAGTAATTATGATTAATAAACATTACAACAAGTGGTTTATGACCCCAATACTTCTGAATGAGATATTTTGCCCTGCATGCTGAATAGGGACGTCTGCCAGGAGGATCTCCCATTTCACAAGTATTGCTCCAATTTGATGTTGACAATCTGCATTCCTTGGATAATAACAGTTCTGAGCAAGTATTTGAAATTGACTCTCTCTTAAGGATTTTATTCAAACCTCTTTGACGAATGGAGTGGATTCGCTTTCCCACTTTCTACTCAAAGAATTTGAAAAAATCCTAATCTCTACATTGGGTAACCATTTGAGACCTGCTGATGAAGGGGTAGCTACTACTAATAAAAGGATTCTAAATACGAAACCTACTCATGAAGAGAACACCACTGATTACGTAAACACACACCATGGTATTTTTTAGGGGATATTATTTCAGGTAATCAAGATTTTGAAACTTTTGATTGTGGTGAGCAACTAACTCTTTTTACACTCGGGGGACGAATTTCTTGGCCATGCTTCGGAAAGCGAGAAGAGGTTACCTATTTCATCAACGGCAGTTCTGTGGGACTCCGATACTAATCAGGATATTTGTTTCAAAGCTAGGTTGGTCACAAAAGAAAATTGCTTGCCTACAGAGAACTTGAACACCCAGCTTAAGATATATAGGAAAAAGAATCAGCGCTCACACCGTATGAGAACAAGATCCCAAACTAGAGTGGATTTTGAAGAATTATACAAGTCTTAGGGAAATATTTGGAGGGAGCACTAGAATTTCAGGTAGGGCTTTTGTTTGTTTTTTATCTTTGTTTTTCGTTCTCTTTACTTTTCATACTCTCGTTTACTCTATCTTTAATAAAATTCTCTTTTCCTTGCCAAAAGAATAATAAAAAAAGGAAGGGGTGCCTACAACCAAGTCTCAATCTCATTGATTTTTAATCACACAATTCATTCATTTAAGTATTCTAATATTCTTCAAGTTCAAATAATCTTAAAAGTCCGCCGTTGTTACAATTTCACAAAAAAGAATTACATTCTGTGCGGATATGAACTCTAGTGTGCTATGCTACGATATTAATGCAAGTAGTAAATTTATTTTAAGGCACATTTGACTTTAGTGCCATCAGCGACAACATCCAGTCGAAAGTGGTCTCCAGCGTGAAGGCAGACAACGATCCTATCTAGCTCCTTCTCTATTCATGTTGAAGGGGAGATGAAAAACTCGGATTCCCCAAAATCCTCTACACAGTGACAACAACAAAACTACGACGGCCGGACAGACTTTACACATGGACTTCTACCGACGGAATTACTCAATTACATATTTGGGAATCGACAACATTAAAGTTCCTTGTACTTCAGAATTTAATAGATTCACCACTACTCCACTAGCACTAAATATAGTAGAACTCTACCGGGAAAAAAGTTTTTTGTATGTGTGTAAGCGTAAAAAAACCAAAGTATAACGAAAAGGGGAGTTCAGATATTGTGATAAAACAAATAAAAACTAAGTTGAATGAATTAAACTTGATCACTTAACGAAGTGCTCGTTGATCATAGTTACTACTTTAACCTTCTCCTCTTGAATAGTTAATCGCGAAGATTAAATCGTCCACTTCATCAAATGTACTTATTAATAACGAAAAACTCTCCTTAATAATCCTTACTATTAGTCAATACAGAACAAACTTCATGTATTGATCTTAATAGTATCATTCAACCGATTTTATGAAATCAATTAAGAATATAAGCTAATGCAACCCGAGGTGAGTATTTGCGGGTGTCGATTCAAGCATCTCAGGTCCAACTATTCTATCTAATTCATCCATTGATCATCTAATTACATCAACTAAGATTGATAACCTCACACGGACGGTTGTTCGGTTTAATAAATATAATTATTTACCCTTTAGATTATAAATTACCAGGAGGGACATGAATTAATAATCTCAAGTTACTAGTTATGACAGGATCAAGTGAGTAACGAGCATATTTATTGATTGATTTTAGTACCAATACCAATCAATATGAAAATATCAACCAATTGGTCACCTAGCGATGCACAAATATCAATATGAAATATGAACAAGAAGAAACTACTTCCTCCGATTCTAAATAAACTTCACACTTTCCTTTTTGGGACGGTCCAAAATAAACTTCACACTTCCTTATTTCCTTATTTGGCAAAGAAATCTACATCAAAACAATGTTAAACAGTGCTAAACAGTGCCAAACAGTGTCTCAACAGTGCCAAACAGTGTCTCAACAGTGCCAAACAGTGTCTCAACAGTGTATTCTACAGTAAAGTCAACTTTATTTCCTTAATAACTGTGAAGCCAAACAGTGCCAAACAGTGCCAAACAGTGTCTCAACTGTGAACATACCCGATCAGGTATTGGATATACTTGACCGTGTGTGTCAAATCAGTTTTTCTTCTTTGAACTATTTGTCTTTGACGAGCACTTTTGTCACAGTGCGTCAAAATAAATTCAATACTAACACTTATACGTAGTATAGCGTAGTAGAGTTCGAATCCACAGGGAAAGGAATAATTCTCTTTTTACAAAACTAGTAAATAAAAGGGGGGTTTAGGATTGAATGATTTAATTTAATTAAACACAAAGGTGAACGACTTATATGAGATTTAATTCAAAGATAAAAGGACTTGGCATTGCTACTTTCAACTTGTTGATATATTTTAGTCGATCATTGTTATATCTATAACTTATCCCCTCTCGAACACTCAATCGAGGAGTATATCCAATTCAAGTATAGAACACCGCCATATACCGACTTGATAGTAGCATTTAATCTCTTAACTCCTTGATGAAATCAATTGAGATTGATAACCTCAACACAACAGTTTTGGTTTAACCAACAAATTAATCCCTCTTAAGTTTATTAACCACGACCGTGCATTAATAAACCGAAGTTACTTACTTGTGAAACCATCAACGATTAACAAGCGTATTCGTCGATCGATTCTAGTAATAATTAATAAATGAAACAAAACTAGTTGATCCTTTAAGTAATGTTCAAAATATTAATATGAAATATGAATAGGAATTAATTAATATTCAAGGAAGAATATTAAATATGATAAATCCTACTATAACTAATGTCAAGATGTTAACTAATTGTCATCTTAGCAACACTCCCCAACATTAATATATAGAGGAAGAAAATAAATACACCTACAACTAATATCGAGATGTTAACTAATTGTCATCTTAGCAACACTCCCCAACATAAATATATATATAGATTAAGGGAAGAATTAATATTCAAGGGAAGAAGTTAAAAAAATAACTCACAACTTTAATAATCAACAAGCTTCAAGAGCAACACCAAAATATGGAAGTTTAGCTCCTCATTTGGAGACTAAACATGCTATAAAAATATAAAAGAAATACTATTCTAAATTGAGCTTAAGAGTATGAAAGAAGGGATGATTTAATGTGAAGGAAAAGGGGTGTATTTATAGCAAAATGGAGGTGGCAGTGTTCTGTACTCGATCCAGTATTGGGGATACTGGACCGAGTATGAGAGGAAATTTCCAGGAAATTGTGAAAAATAGGCATACTCGACCGAGTATTGTCAATACTCGACCGAGTATGACAGGATTTTTGATAAGTCCGTATTTAGACACGCATTTGATGCGTGTTCAGGTCGGATTTTGATGATTTTCCTGGCTTCAAGGCGTTGCAAGTCTCAATTTTGGCTCAAGTTATGTTTACCGGGCGTTGGTTCGAGTTTTGTGTTGTTTGTAGTCAAAATCAGGGAATTTGAGCCCGGGTACCGGCACTTGAGGAACAATCGGGATGATTTGAGAAGCATTTGAGAATGATTTGATAGCTTTGGAGGTCACCGGAAGTTTCACGATGAAGATTTGAAGGAAAAAGAGCTCTAGGACTGGCTTCGGGATCAAAAGAAGATGAATGAAGCTTGAAAACGACGATCAGGATGACCTTCTGTCAATCGTTCAAGCATATCTATTTGTAGAAAGATCCAATGTACACGATTGAAGTTCCATAGGAAAGCCAACTTCAAGGGCTACAAATCATATGAAGACACCTTTGCGAGAATCTGAGATGAAGAAGGTGAAACAGACGATGAAGTCAGATGATCTCTGCTGCGATTTCAGAAAGACACCTTCCACCATTTTGATCATATCTCTTGATTGGATGATTCAAATCACATTCGGCAAATTGGGGTGGATAGAAGACTTCATTATCTACAACTTTCATGAAGAAAGTTTTGTCAAATTCGGAAGTTACGTAGACACGATCGTGCCCTCAAAGTCAGACACGATCGTGCCTGAAGAGAAAAGCACCGCGAAGCTACTGCCAGCCAGGCACGATCGTGCCTGGAGGGAGGCACGATCGTGCCTGCCCAAAATGCGCGTTTTTGCTCCGGAGGCACGATCGAAGGCACGATCGTGCCTGGCATCGTGTCTGGCTCCGAAAATCCTAATTCAACTCAACTTTCACCCGATTTTTCTATTTAAACAGCCTGTAAACCCCCGTTTTCAAGGGGGGATCTTAGAGAGAGTGCCTAGCACGAATTTTAGAGGGCTTTTCAGCCTTGTTCATCAATCTTTTGGGATTCTTTGTAAGTTCCACCTTTTTAATTAATGACAATTAATTCTTTTTATTCCAATTCTATTGATTCTTCAATTATGAATTGTGAGTAGTTTTAATTAGGGATTTGGGATTGATGAAGGGGTTAATCATGATGTATAGCTAGATTCTTTTCGGTTTAATTGCATGAATGCCGTTTAATTTGTGTTTGAATAATTTAATTGATATCTTTTGTAACCTAGAATCGCGACTAGAATTACAATTGCATGTAGAATAAATTAAGAGAGATCTAATTTGTTCTAGGACACATTCACACACACTTAATCGTTCGCTAAGAGATTAGTAGCGATTAAGGGGCCGTAAGTTCGCTCGTCTTGGCAATAATTTAGGATCCTGTCGCATGAGAGATCAGCCTGGTCCCCTAAATTATTGTACTCTACGCCGCGAGAGCGGTAAGAACTTAGTAATGATTAGCTAGGCTCAATTAAATTAATTTCATGTAATTAGGCCTGATCTGCCAGAAATCTGGTTACCCCGGAATCGATCCCTGTTCCCTTCGTCATTAATTAGAAAGAACCCCCTAGGTTAATTGTTCGCATTAGTTTTATTTTCCAAACCAACCAATCTCGCACGACGCTTTTATTTTATTTTCTTTTTAATCGTTGAATTTAGTTAATTCTTAATTCCCTTTTGTCCGTCCCTGTGGAGACGATACTCGTACT